CTGCGACTGTGCCTGTCTTAGGTTGTTCCTCCCTTGAGGAATCTTACCCGTCTCTGGCTAACCAGTCATCTTCCGGGGCCATACAGGGAGATGTAAAGTTGGTAAGTGAGAGAAAAGCAATATTGTTTGAAAAGGTTAGCTTTTTACTTCTTTACAGATTTATGCCCTGTGGCTTCTATGCCCAGCACTTGTCTTGAGGTATCTTTACCACTTGGAAGAATTATGATACTCGGTAATTTTGGATATGAGGCACAAATTCTACTAAAGGGTTGTAATTAGGAAGGAAGAAGAAAAGCTATAGAGGTAGCAGATGGAAGAAAACATGGGAAGATTGATTATTTCTTTGACATATCTTCTTGTAGAGTACCTTAAGTATGTATAGGTTTTAACAATGTAAGTGGTTTTCTTAAATGAGGTTTGGGTTCTGAGCATGACTGAAATTTTAGTACTTTATCAGAACAGGTTCTGGTAAATAGTGGGAGGGGTTTGTGGGTGGGTGTTGGCTTCAGTTTGAAGAGGCAAACGATGTTTGTGTAGAGGTTGAAGTAACCTGAAGTAATGAAGAGCAGAACTATCATTGACTCTGTTTAAGGCCTTTGACCCTGATTAGATTAAAACAAAACTAAGCTAGTTGACCAGATTTATCAATAAGGTAAACTGATGAAGTCTAATGAATCTGGAAACTAGTAAGAGGAATATATGTATTTTTTATGAGTCCTAGGGTTACTGCTTCTGGAAATGTATAATCTGTAAGACTGTTTTGAATATCCTCTCCATTCCAGCATGAGTAATAAAATGTTTTTGTGGGTTTTAAAAATTTTATCAGAAAAACTATTCACATTCACTTACTTTCTTGGTAATCTCATCACTCAATTACATGGCTTTAAAAAGTAAATTAAAAACTAAATTTTTATCTCCAACCTGTGCCTCTGCCTACTTAACATCTTTATGTACTTTTTATAGGCTTTGCAAACTTAACATGTTTATACCTGAGTTCCTGATCTTTCTCCCAAAACTCATATAATATCAGGTTCATCCATCCATCTTCAGGTCAGAACCCTTGGAATTTCTTGACTTCTTTCTCTGTTACCTCACATCCCAATTTGTCAGCACATCCTGCTTGAGTCTTATCTTAAAAATACATAGAAAATAAGATGTCTCCCCTTCTCTTCCTACCACCCTTGTCTGTCTCAGCTACCCTTACTTCTTACGTAACTTCTTGCAGTAAGCCTCTTCCCTTACCAGCCTTCATGTTGTAGTCCCTGCATCCCTTCAGATTTTTTTCTCAGTGGTCAGAGTGATCTTAAACGGAGGTCTGGTCATGTCTTTCTCTGCTACTTGGATCTCTGAATTGGCTGAAGTGTCATTTAAGTCACTTCATGTCACTTTGTGGCACTTGAGTAAAAGCCAGAGTCCTTAAGTGGCTTACAAGGCTTAGCCGGATACGGCCCCCTTTCACCTCACTGAACTCATTTTTGACCACTCTCTTCCTCATGCTGCTCCATCCTCTCTGGTTTCCTGTGTCTTGAGTGTGCCTCGTTCACTCCTGCCTCTGGACATTTGCACCTGCCTTTCTCTCTCCTGGAATGATCTCTCTTCATGTATCCTCATAGCTTCCCTTCCAACACTCTTACGCAGGAACAGAGCCACCTCAGTGAGGTCTTCCCTGATCATTTAAAACTGCAGTCTTCCCATACTCCCTTGTCCTCTTTGGATTCCTCGTTTAAGATATTTTCACATAATATATAAATCCTTTTATTTATTATCTTTCTCTGCTCCCTAGAACATCAGCTCCACAAGGCAGGGATGTTTGTATGTGAGACTTTGCTGTGTTGCTCACACCCAGAGTAGTAACTAGAACAAAGCAGGCCATTCAGTAGACATTTTGTTCAGTGAGTAGATGAAGATTGTTATGAATCTGAAACATATTCTGTATTAGATTTTCTTCCTTTTGTTATATAATTAAGGTATAATGTATTTCCTGTTTAACTGGGTTGAACAGAAGATCAACAGATACTTTCAGTATTTTTATCTTTCTTAGTGGAGAAAAATATCTTCTTTTTTAGGGGGAGAGAGTAAAGTGATATGTTTCCTAAATCTGTCTGTGCGAATCATGCATGGATACATGTAGGAAAAGTTGGCACTTATGAAGAGCTGGTGACTCTGGCAGCATGGATTATCACTGGACATTGTAATCATGTAATCGGGTCAGATGAGATTTATCTTTGGGAGAAGTGCTTTAGAATCGTTGGCTGTGTGGCCTTGTGCAGACAATCTCTCCTCAGTTTGCCCTCTGTAGTCTGTAAAGTAGGGATGGGGACTTACTTCCGGTTACCCTGTTGTTGTATTGTCTGCTTTGTAATATCATTTCTAGCAAAGTGACAACTACACTTCTCGGTGCCATCTAGTTCTTCTCTTGGTGCCTTTCCTCAAATGTCACATTGTGGTATGTTGGCCATTGTATAGTGAGGCTCAGAAAAATTGTGATTAGTATGGCAAATGCAGAGGAAAAAAATATATGTGTCCCCACTGAGCTATAATTTAGAGCCAAATGTAAATGGTAATTGGTTTGACTTTTGCTTTGGATTGTCAGTGTTCTTACTTCTCTGAAAGGACACACACACACACACACACACACACATACACACACACACACACACACACACACACACGTATATGTAGACATACATACAGGATTTCTTTTTTTTTCTGGCTCACTTGGCAGAAACGACTCATTTATTTGTAAATGGAAACACAGTATATGATTTTGTAGGGAGTAGTGTTGAATGTACAATTTAGACTTAATTATTTTTTCCTTTTTGAATGCTGAAATAATATTTTTGCCAGTTTTCTGAGGCAGTTATCTTGTTAACCCTAGAAAGAATGGTCTTTTTCTTTAAATTTAATCTGAAGTATGTCTATCCTGAATTGCATCTGAGTTTTTTAGCTTAAGCCCCTTGTTCTTTTTAGATTCTCAGTAGACTTTGGTGTGTTTTCAGTGTCAAAGAGGAACGTTCTAACAACTCTGTTAGCTGATAGTTTTCTTTCTTGTGTGATTGGCTTGTTCCTGCTCTAACCTGAAGCCTGGTGGAGAAAGTAATATGTCTCTGTGTATTTGAATCACTAACACCAGTGACCTACAGGGACTTGGGAGTTTATTACTGTCTGTTTAGCAGATGATTCATCTAAACAGAACTTTAGCCAGTACTAGAATAATTAGAATACTTTTTCACTGTCTTAAAATGTTTTTAGAAAATTGAAATTCTGAGAGCATATTTCCTGTGTAGAAGGAAGCGTCTAGGTTTGTGCTTTGTGCAATGTGTCCCCACTGATTTAGAATCGTTGGCTGTGTGGCCTTGTGCAGACAATCTCTCCTCAGTTTGCCCTCTGTAGTCTGTAAAGTAGGGATGGGGACTTACTTCCGGTTCACTTCACTGACTTGTTGAGGGAAAGAATTGAATGGATCACAGCAGGGACCAGCTTTGTAAACCCCTTGTTGTTCTGAAGACCCTGTTGTTGTATTGTCTGCTTTGTAATATCATTTCTAGCAAAGTGACAACTACACTTCTCGGTGCCATCTAGTTCTTCTCTTGGTGCCTTTCCCTCATCTCACTTTGCTCGTAGATTGTCAGCATTATTGCTGCTCCATCACACTGTCCCCAAAAGGTCGTTGTTAACATTTTGTATTTTCCTGACTGCTTGGGCACATTTGAAGTGCTTACAGGGAGGTCTTTTCTGAGGTTAGGTCTGACATGAGAGTTTTGGAGAGACTATATGATAATTTTTATGGTTTTGGCATGCCCACAGAGAATTTTCTCTTTGTCGGAGGCATATAATTGCGAACTGATTTTGTTTGTTGTCTAAGTAAAGCGGACCAATGTAGACATGTGTGGTTTCCTATCTGGCCCTGGTAACAGGAGAAACAGATGATTCTTACATTGATCAGTTGTCTTTTTTTGCGTTAGAGCATTGAGGACAAGGACAATGAGTGCTTCCCTTACTGTATCTTTAGTTCTTAAACATCTGGCACATAGATACAGATTGTTGAGGAGAATTTCATCTCATTGATGAGATGAAATATTGGAGAGGATGATGAAAGGTTGCAAAAGACAAATTACTAATTACTGTGTTCCAAAACTGACCTGTAAATAAAACAGTTCCCTCCCCCCTATAAAACTTGGTAAGAACTATGGTGGGTTGGAGTTTGGTATTCTCTCTTCTCATTGTAAACTCTTAAAAACACAAGACTTTCATTGTTGGGTTTTGTTTTGTGGAGGTGTTTATTAGAGAAGCTATTAATAGTGGGAATTTGAAAGAATGTAAAAACCACCTGATATTCCCCAGATGGAAGGTTGTTTTTGGAAGCTGTTAGGTTTTGTTAAGGTAGAAATAATACGTCTTTCAAGATACTAGAAAATAACTGCAATAGTATACTTAGAAGATGTGAAAAATTGTACATGCTGTAGAATCTTGCTTTGAGGTTGTCACTTTTATTTGAGTCAACTCTTGTGTTTCTTCTTGTGAGGAGCTCTGGAAATTTAGAGAAGTGGGCAGAGTCTACAGAGAAGTACTCTGAGACATCTAGAGATATTTTCCAAGGCTGTCCAAATTATTTTTTTAAGGTAGAAATAATTTTTACTACAGCTTCTTTCCCTTTTAAATTAAATTGTAAGTTATGAAGCCCTTTTTGTATAATTATACCAATTATATACTAGGGTATACACTTTTTCTTTAAAAAGGAGGAAACAGTTGGGATTCAGAAAGTATAGTTTTCTCTTATGCATTCAGACATTTTCCACTATTGGTGTGGTAGAAAAAAGCTGAGGCCAAAACCTGTATGTATTTAAATTTTTTGTCTATTGTCCTAACTTTTGTCCTGTGGCCTGTGAGATATTTTTAGGGCTAACACATGAGTAGGAAAGAGATTCATTTAGCAAAACCTTATTTTAGGAAGGAAATGAGTGAAAATGTTAAAGGAATTTCTTCTTTTCCTCTCCTAGCATTTGAAACGTTGGGGTAGTTGGAGTGGTTGGATTTTCCCTGGATTTGAGTGAGAAATTCAGAAGACTGAAGCCCAGGCTTACTGTCTACCTTTCACGGAGGCCCAGCCGTGAGAGGACAGAAGAAGGCACGTGGCGAATCATGACAGCTGACAAAGACAGAGACAAGGACAAGGAGAAGGACCGGGACCGAGACCGGGACAGAGAGAGAGAGAAGAGAGACAAGGCGAGAGAGAGTGAGAGTTCAAGGCCGCGCAGGAGCTGTACCTTGGAAGGAGGGGCCAAAAATTACGCCGAGAGTGATCACAGTGAAGATGAGGACAATGACAATAGTGCCACCACGGAGGAGTCCACGAAGAAGAACAAAAAGAAACCGCCGAAAAAAAAGTCTCGTTATGAAAGGACAGACACTGGCGAGATAACGTCCTACGTCACTGAGGATGATGTTGTCTACAGACCAGGAGGTAAGGAGCTTTAGGTTTGGGTCTTGCAGTGCTTGTGGTGGAGAGATGATAGCAGCACCCGGACGTCTCTTCACATGTGAGGGAAGACATGGAACTCAAAAGAGTAGGTAGTAGTTTTGGGAAGGAAGACTCAAGGAATGCGACATGCCGGCCCACGCACGGCCAGCGGGCGCACGGAGCTCTTGCTGGCGTCCGCCTCCGCCTGTCCTTTGGCCCCGTGCTGTGTGTTCGTCGGCTCTCACCTTGTTTTCTCATGCTGCTTGTTCCCTCACTTCACCTTCTACTCAGTCATTGTCATCTTTTGACTTACTCCTTGCTTTTCATCTTCAACACAAATTAGGCTGTGGCGACCCTACAGACTGGAATGGATAGCAGGACAAGTAAACTTTAATATTCTTAGAAAAAGGGAATTTTTCACTGGCTTCAAGAGTGACCAGAAGCTAGAGAGGTATTTTAAATGGCCTTCAGACCAAGGTTTATTCATCGTAATAACCCTCCTTTCCAAAGAATTGAGCTTCAGGCTCTCATATCAGTGATAAGTAAATGAAGCCAACTAACCTGCTTTGTTTTCTAGAACATGTACTGAATTCATAGCACTGTTCATGGAGACAGACTCGCTGTCAGTCAAGGTGCAGGGAATCAAGTGCTTCAGAGCCTGCCACACACTCTTTTTCACTGGTTCTACTGTGTGTGTTAAGATACTTTGTTTCACAGAAGTCAGTAAAACTAGCTGAGATTGTTTTGTTTGAACTACTTGTAATGCTGAGAGACATGAGTTTCAGATGGGATGTAATTAGCAGATTAAAAACCTCCCACTTTGATGTTTTCCAGGAAGGAGAGTTTAAAGAGATTACATTATGTCATTAACCCCACATAGTTGTTTTACTGAGGAGTACTGAAACTGTTTTGAACTTAAAGTACCAGATATTTTTTTCCCTATATAAGAATTAATTTTGGATTTCAAAGACTAATCGATAATTAGAATCTATAAAGCTAAACTTATATTCACAACTATAATATCTTGGCTGATGATTAACTGAGAAGGTATTTATGTGATATAAAATTATCAAACTTGAGGTTTTAGAGCACTCAGAGTTCTGTAGGAATTTAGTAATGTATAGGTTACACTACTGTTGGCATCTTTGATTAGACTTAGATATTGGACACTAAGAATTTCTACCCACCAAAGGATATCTCATGTAGTTACCAAATATTTGCTTGCTATGGACCAGTTTAGTTCTAGATCATGAGAAAGGAACAGAATGTGTTAACTATTTTAAAGATTATAGTATGAAAACTTAAAAATAAGGAAAGATCTTACTATCTTTTCTCTTGATACATAATAATTTACTGTGGTAAAGTGATCGTTTCGATCTTTGTCAAGAGGCCAGCTGCCTTGTGCAGTATTGAATGCCAGCTGCTCTCAGTGGAATGTTACCCCTATGTGAGTGGGGTACTTCTCCAAAATTATGGTCAAATATGTGCAGGAAATACTGTACATGCTGTCCTGCTTGTGAAAGAACTATAATTAATGACTGAGAAGTCCTGTAGTTAAGGAAACTTCTTTAACTTTGCAAAAAAACCCAAAACCTCCTGCTTTTCTCACTGACGGAACTGTGACACCCTGTTGCTGCTGATTATTTCTCTAAGAAAGACTAGTTTTGAGAAAACTCATGTGGGAACTTGTACATTTTATAGGATGATAGGAAATCCTTCCTGCTCGATGTTGAGAACATGAGGGAAGTTGCTAAGGGCTTATTTATTAAACAGTAACTTCTTAAAGGGTTTTGGGAAGAGCTGTATATGGAAGCAAGTATTGGTTCAGTAAATCTGAGGACTTGTGAAATGTGAAAAAGATATGCTTTCTCTGGAAGCTAAGTATGTTATAAAGGACTTTTAAAAGCCAAAAATGATCTCAAAGTTTTCTGTGGCACTCAGAGAATAACCAGATTGTGTGAGGTGCCTGTGTGCTTGGGAGGTGACAGTGCTGTGGTCCTCTGTGGTACCCTGCTAGGTACAGTGGATGACTCTTCAGACAGGAGACTGTCCTGTACCCTCACACTGCTTTCTTTTCCTTTTGGGGAATTTACTTGAAGCCCAATAACTTGGTTGCCTTTTACACATGGCTTCTTCCTAAATGGAGGATTGTTAAATATTGTCTGTGATTAGATTCCCAAATGGGACTTGATTTTGTTCTTCCCTTTGCCTTCCTTTTTTGGTCTTTCCTTTCTTGGTGCAAAGTACTATAATGACATCTTTTGTTAGTGAGGAGACAACTCTTATTCTCACCTAATTGCAGATAGTCTATTTGTGTAGCTGTATCTTAAATGTTTATCTGTGGAACATGATAAGGGATTTCATCAGTGTATTCATTTTTGGATGATTTTTTAAAAATTAAGGTATAATTGATACACAGTCTTATGAAGGTTTCACATGAGCAACATTGTGGTTACTACGTTCATGCATATTATCAAGCACCACCCCCAACCCCCAACCCACATTGCAGTCACTGTCCGTCAGTGTAGTAAGATTGCTATAGAGTCATTACTTGTCTTCTCGGTGCTATATTGCTTTCCCTGTGACTCGCCTACATTATGTGTGCCAATCATAATGCCCCTTAATCCCCTTCTCCCTCCCTCCCCAACCCCTTCCGTTTGGTAACCACTAGGCCCTTCTTGGAGTCTGTGAGTCTGCTGCTATTGCGTTCCTTCGGTTTTGCTTCGTTGTTATACTCCACAAATGAGTGAAATCATTTGGTACTTGTCTTTCTCCGCCTGGCTTCTTTCACTGAGCATAATACCCTCTAGCTCCATCCATGTTGTTGCAAATGGTAAGATTTGTTTTCTTCTTATGGCTGAATTATATTCCATTGTGTATATGTACCACCTCTTCTTTATCCATTCGTCTCCTGATGGACACAAGTTGTTTCCATATCTTAGCTATTGTAAATAGTGTTGCGATAAACATAGGGGTGCATACATCTTTTTGAATCTGGTGTCTTGTTTTCTTCAAATTTCTGGGTCAAATGGTATTTCTATATTTAGTTTTTTGAGGAACTTCCTTATTGCTTTCCAGAATGGCTGAACTAATTTACATTCCCACCAGCCATGTAGGAGGGTTCCCTTTTCACCGCATCCTTGCCAGCATTTGTTGTTTCTTGTCTTTTGGATGTTGGCCATCCTAACTGGTGTGAAGTGATCTCTCATTGTGGTTTTAATTTACATTTCCCTGATAATTAGCAATGTGGAGCATCTTTTCATGTGCCTCTTGGCCACCTAAATTTCTTCTTTGAAGAAGTGTCTGTTCAGATCCTCTGCCCATTAGGGTTATTTGGTTTTTGGGTGTTGAGGTGTGTAAACTGTTTATATATTTTAGATGTTAACCTCTTATTGGATAAGTTGTTTATGAATATATTCTCCCATACTGTAGGATGGTGACTTTTTGTTCTGCTGATGGTGTCCTTTGTTGTACAGTAGCTTTTTAGTTTGATGTAGTCTCATTTGTTTATTTTTCCTTTTGTTTCCCTTGCCCAAGGAGATGTGTTTAGGAAAAAGTTGCTCATGTTTATTTTCAAGAAATTTTTGTCTGTGCTTTTTTCTGTGAGTTTTATGGTTTCATGGCTTAGATTCATGTTTACTTCGATCCATTTTGAGTTCACTATTTTTTTTAAATTTTGGTATCAATAATTTACAATTACATGAGGAACATTATGTTTACTAGACTCAACACATCACCAAGTCCCTGCTCACATACCCCATTACAGTCTCCGTCCATCAGCGTAGGAAGATGCTATAGAGTCACTACTTGTCTTCTCTGTGTTGTACAGCCTTCCCAATGACCCCCCCCATTATACATGCTAATCATAATGCCCCCTTTCTTCCCACCTCCCCTTATCCCTCCCTTCCCACCCATCCTTCCCAGTCCCTTTCCCTTTGGTAACTGTTAGTCCATTCCTGGGTTCTGTGTGTCTGCTGCTGTTTTGCTCCTTCAGTTTTTTCTTTGTTCTTATACTCCACAGATGAGTGAAATCATTTGATACTTGTCTTTCTCTGCCTGGCTTATTTCACTGAGCATAATACCCTCTAGCTCCATCCATGTTGTTGCAAATGGTAGGATCTGTTTTCTTCTTATGGCTGAATAATATTCCATTGTGTATATGTACCACATCTTCTTTATCCATTCATCTATTGATGGACACTTAGGTTGCTTCCATTTCTTGGCTATTGTAAATAGTGCTGTGGTAAACATAGGGGTGCATCTGTCTTTTTCAAACTGAGCTGCTGCATTCTTAGGGTAAATTCTTAGGAGTGGAATTCCTGGGTCAAGTGGTATTTCTATTTTGAGTTTTTTGAGGAACCTCCATACTGCTTTCCACAATGGTTGAACTAATTTACATTCCCACCAGCAGTGTAGGAGGGTTCCCCTTTCTCCACAACCTCGCCGACATTTGTTGTTGCTTGTCTTTTGGATGGTGGCCATCCTAACTGGTGTGAGGTGATATCTCATTGTGGTTTTAATGTGCATTTCCCTGATGACCAGCGATGTGGAGCATCTTTTCATTTGTCTGTTGGCAATCTGAATTTCTTCTTTGGAGAACTGTCTGTTCAGTTCCTCTGCCTATTTTTTTATTGGATTATTTGCTTTTCATTTGTTAAGGTATGTGAGCTCTTAATATATTTTGGATGTCAACCCTTTATCGGATCTGTCATTTATGAATATATCCTCCAATACTGTAGTTTGCCTTTTTATTCTATTGGTGGTGTCCTTTGCTATACTGAAACTTTTCAGCTTGATACAGTTCCACTTGTTCATTTTTGATTTTGTTTCACTTGCTCGGGGATATATGTTCATGAAGAAGTTGTTCATGTATATGTCCAAGAGAGTTTTGCCTATGTTTTATTTTATTTTTATTTATTTTTAATTTTGGTATCATTAATCTACAATTACATGAGGAACACCATGTTTACTAGACTACCCCCTCACCAAATCCCCTCCCCCAC